GATCATTTGTCACACAGCAGAAGGTGAACTAAAGAGAGATGTAACCAACATAACAGAGTGAGTTCCAGAATGAGAGAAAAAAATAAGAAAAATAAATTACAGAATATTATCAATTTACTTTCACTCAGAGTAATGAGTATCAGCCAGAAAAGAGGATGTTTGATATCTGTGAGGAGATTGACAATCCAGTGCTGACCAATCAGTGACTATCTGACGCAGAGAGTTCCCGCTCGCTGCTCCCGTCTTGGGAGTGCGCGTGTGAATTTCTTTTTATTTGCGGTGTGGATGGAGAGAGGAGCGAGAGTGAGCGGCGGAGCAGTGAACAGAGACGATACACTGGACGACAAAAACGGAAGAAAGTGAAAGCATACGGCTTACACTTGAGAGAAGGTATCTCTGAGAGGATCGGTGACACTGAATACAACTCTGAAATGAATTGGGATTAATTGTTGAAATGTGTTTCAGCATTGCATATTTGCAATTAATAGAGACCACTATTGAGTAGCCATTTCATTATGACCAGTGACAGGTGAAGTGAAAAACACAGATTGGCTCCTGTCCTGTCCTATCCTACCCACTGACATGGCTACCCACTGACATGGCTCCTGTCAGTGGGTGGGATATATTTGAAGTTGTTGATATAGTTGATATGTTTGAAGCAGGAAAAAGCTGTGACCATCTTCTGAAATGTGGGTTCCCCTAGGTTGAGGATGCACTATGACAATGAAATGGATAATTAAATGTGAGGCTCTATGTTGTATCCCACCCCCATCTATGTTATGTATTGTTGTAAAAGGTGTCATTATAGTGTTCTGGTTTTTATTGTTGTTGTTATCTTGTTGTGGTATTCGATGGAAGACAACAATGCTTTGCTATTGTATGGTTTCTTCTTTGTATGTCTTGTATATATAAAACATTAAAAGGTGGAAATTAATATTCAGATAGTTGTTAAAGCATTGTTATTACATTTTCAATTTTCACTTCAGTATTCTATTGATTGAAATGTTTCATTGAGTCAGACAACCAAATTGTGACGATGGGACCTCTTAATCAATGTCACTGGTTGCAGAGGTTGTAATCATTGTGCACTGTTAAAATACACAAGACTCTTCACAGTTCAAACTGTATCCACAGGGTGGCAGCACAACACAGGCTACAGTGATATGATCAGGCTGCACACAAGATAGACTTTCCCACACTGTGGAAATTCACTAATGAAGAAATAAATGAAAAAAATATCCCAATAAAACATTTAAAATACAATGTTAACTGATGCATCTCAACTCTCATTTGGTGAATTTAGTTTAATTACATGAATTATTGCACTTAACCTCTTCTACTAACAGAAAGGTGTCATCATTTAATGTTTGTTAGCAACAGAATAAATCACATTTAAACATTATGATTTAACAGAAGATGAGCTGCTGGAAGGTTGTCTTTTGTAACTAAGATGGTGAAATATGTTTATATTGACGTAGAACTGTTATGCTGACCTCAGTTCTTCTTCAGGGGTTTAAATGTCCTCTGATAGTAAACACGGTAATGACTGATAAAACATTTATGGCTGCTGTCAATGTGTAGAAAATGCAGCGATTTTCCTTTCACTTTCAGGTTTGCATCAGTTTATGTCTCTGTTTACATGAGTTATTTGGCCATAACACTTTCAGCAGAGCAAGATTCTTTTATTGGAATATATAATCAAAGTTCAGAGGTTCAGTGCAGTTACAACATGTAACCAGCTTATAATGTGCTATGCGTGTGCCATTAGCACCTCTTCAAATCAGATAATCTACTTCACAGATTGCTGATCCATTTCCAAATGAGTTAATATTTATTCAGTGATGTAAGACCACACTGACTACACTGTATAAAACAAGCTGCAGACGAAAGTGAAGCAAAACTCAAGACAGAGACCAACGGAGCGGTAAGTTGCTGAATGCAGTGAGCAGTTATCTGTTGTTAGTGTTTATGTGATGCTGAAGAATAAAGTTACAGAAACAAATTTCATGATTTAATTTTAGTTTTTGTACAAATATATGTTTTTGTTGAAATGGTTAATAATTTACTTTGGTGAATTTGTTAAAATGTTGTCCCAAACAGTTGATCCTAGTCTAAAAAAGAAGCATCATCTTGTATTTATTGTGGCATTTTAGTAGTCCAAACTTGTTTGGACATAACATGCCACTGTAACTGGAAACTCAGAATCAATATTATTTGTATTTTAAATATTTTTCCTGTAGGCTGTTTAGAATTAGTGCTTCCATATGCTGAAGTACTAAACAGTGAAGTTCTCTCTCCTGCACCTCAAGACCATCACCAGCAGCTTGACTGTCCAACACAACCAACTGTAAGTAAAAATAAATATTATTATTATTATATAATTATAAAAGGAGATATTTGGAAGACAACTGTGTATAAATTATAGTGTATACAACCCTCCACACTGTCAGGCTCTTAGGATCCCAAGGACAAAATAATCTTGAAAACAAAACAGTGATTAAGCCATGTCCCCTTAGTTGCTGTTGCAAAGCCCCAAGCTTTCAATTCTAGGATGGCACAAGCAGTCAAAAATGAAATGAAGATTTTACAATTTCTAGTGTTAAATCTCTGATTTGCCAGCTTAAAAATGAAGATGCTCGTTGGTAGATTTTAACAACAGCTCTGATTCAAAGTCATGTTAACTCATTACTGGGTACATTCAATGAAGAATTAACTTACAATGAAATAATCAAATATTCATGCAGCTCTTCCTTTTTATACCAGTCAAGGAAAGCCAGACTTTGACACTCAACCCTCAGGGTCGTGTTCCTCTGCACTGTATTATCAGATGACACATGAGGTAAGTAATTCATAGGTCAATGTTTTCAATACATTTATGATCCTCCCTGAACAATCATAAAGACAAATTAGGTTTTAAAGTGCAATTACTGTATCATAAACAGAACCATGTTTTAAAAGGCACTCCTGTTCTCATTTCGTTTTAGGAGTTTTAGATACTATGATTTAAATCCTGAGTTACATTTTGGAATTGCATCTCAAAGCTTTGCATCTCAAAGCAGACGACTGGGCCGAGAACACCCAACAGAGATGTGTGTAATTTACCTTCAGCAACTTTATTTTTAAATTAATGATTGAATATTTTACTGGACTGGTTAGTTGGAACAAATTCCTGCATGGCAGCTGCTAAAGTGATCCAAAATACAAAAGGGAACTGATTCAAATAACTGAACTTGACTTTAAATTTGACAAAGCTCAACCTTTAATCTCTCCTTGACGCTTGCTGCACATAAATGTAATCTGAAGATCTTTAATATGATTTTTATTACTGTGATGCTCTCTGAGAGAAGTCAGCTACAAGTTGTATTGTGAATGAACTTTGTTTCATTATTTGATGATTCAGCCAGGTGAATTTTATGTCCATTATAGTGTTGAAATCTTCAGAGTTAAAGGGCCAGTGTGAAAGATTTAGTGGCATCTAGTGGTGTAATTGGAGAGTGTACGTCCCTTGCTTTACTCACCTTTTGAGCACGAAGGACAATCTACGGAGGCTCTATCCATTGTTTGGTTTGTTTGCCTCCATGTAAGGCGGCCTGCAGTGTCTGTGGATAAAAACGGCTCATTCCAAGCTAACAAAAATCAACAATTCCTATTTTTTAAGTGATTATACACTAATGAAAACATATCGATGAATATTTCTGACAATAGATCCTCCTAAATGTTACACACTGGACCTTCAGAGAAGTCATAACAAGAGTGGTACTGGTCCACTGTTGCTGTAATTGTATTACATATATTATTTTATATTTCAATATGCAGATTCAGACCAGAGAGCACTTCACAACAACAGAGGCAACACTCACCATCGAGACAGATGAACTTTGACCACAAAGACTCAATTTTCTTTCTCCAAAATAACTCTCAAGAGATCTGATACCAACTGTTTATTATTATAATTGTTAATACTGGTAACAAAATTACTTCTGCCATAATGCAATCCAGACTTCGGGCAGGTTTAAAATCCACTTCCAAATCAAATCATTGTATTACACAGCAAAAGTGCATCAAACGGCTTGCTGATGCTGTTAAAGAAAAAAGCACACTGCAAAAAACCCAGACAGGTCCTCTTCCTGTTTATAAAATTCCCCTGGAAGAACAACAGATCAATGTCACTGGGTGCAGGCATTTCAGCTTTGGAAAAAACTCCACTAAATCTAATCGCACCATATTGGTTCTTGGACCATGTGGAGCCGGAAAGTCGACTCTCATCAATGGGATGATAAATTACATTGTAGGTGTCGAATGGGAGGATTCATATCGTTTTAAGTTAGTTGATGAGGATCAGTCAAAATCACAAGCTGAAAGCCAGACCTCTGAAGTCACAGTGTACAAAATCAACCACCAGGAGGGGTTTAAAATAGAGTACTCACTGACCATTGTGGACACTCCAGGTTTTGGAGATACAACAGGCATAGATAGAGATAAAGAGATCACAGAACAGCTGCGTAAGCTCTTCTCTGCTGAGCTTGGTGTC